GTAACACCTTTCCTGGTCTTGTATCTTCCTAGATCATAAACTGCAAAGGGCATGACTCTGTCCAAGTGGCTATGTATGCTATGGTGCTATCAAATAAAATGACATCCTCCATTTAAAAATAGACTTCTGGGTGTGACTGCTGTGATATAAAACGGGCTGTTGGTCTTCAGAGAAGGCTGCAGAACAATTACCTGGGTGATTCTGTGCTGGGCAAGTAGCAGGCTCCCTCTAGCTCACTGCAGGCCACACATGGTGCTGCTCAGAAGCTCTGCAGGGGTCCAGGTCCTCTGTGCTTCAACTGGGAACTCCCTCTGGGTCCCACCGCTGAGGTGGCTGAGGTAGTATTCTCATTTTATTGCCAGTAAACTCCTCAGGAAGGGCTCCCAGTCTGGCGCCCCGCTGCTGTGAAACTTCCCCTTCTCATTTAATAATGTTGCTGTGAAAGCAGCAGCAGCTGAGGTCTGGGGCTCTACCTGCCCCTGGCAGCCGAGCCGTGTGAGCACCGCTGCTCTTCCCCTGCAGGGGCAGCTCGGGAAGGCGCGAGCGACGCGGCAGCACTGGAAAGACTTTTCATTAGCAGTGCAGAAAGGAGAGGGGGTGTGGGCCCCGCGCCCCACCAGGACAGCAGCAGGGAACCCGACTGGCTCCCCCCGCGCTTGCCCTGGCTGCACCTGGAGGGTGCAGTGACCGCACAGAAGCGGGGACGTTCCAAGGGGAAGGGTTTGTGCTTTGGGCCTGCTCACATCCAAAAAGTGCATTTCCTGTTTGGGATTGATTTTTGTTCCTTTATTAAAGGAGGGGGGTGAGGAGGGGAACCAGCTTCCACAGAAACACAGCTCAGGCCCACTCCACGCGGTGTCTTTGTGTTCCTTTCCAACGTGACCACCAGCCCCTGTGACAGAAACGTGCCTGTCTCAGAGATATGAGCCAAAGCTGGGCCAGGAGATGCAGCCTCTGTACACCCATCAACTTAACCAGGGCTTTGGAAGCCAGATTTCTGCAGGAGTTGCCACAGCTTATGCCCTGCGAATTTTGCTGAGTGTGGACTATGGTGGTGAAATAATTCATCCACAGATCTTTGCTTGTCAAAGTGTTGTGAAGCTTCAACTACCTGGAAGCCGGTGCCCCTGAAAGTGATGGCAGTTGCTTTCAAGTACCGAAAGTCTCCTGTCAGGAAATTTAGGTGAACAGTAATTTCAGATACCCCCATAACTCTGAAACACAGTAGTAAAAATCAGACAGAAACAATAAAACAGATCTTTATAGCCGGAATCAATATTCATAAACATTCTCAGATTGGCCTTAAGATACATACATACAAAAGAAGAAGAAATAAACCAGAGCAGCTCCAAGATACCAACATGGAAATACTATAAAATATGAACGAACATAATCCATAGGCTGTAGCACCAGAGCGCACAGTCACAGCACCCTTCCCTCATGCCCGCGTGCTGTCACTGCTTCACAGATGAGACCGAGCTCGTGAGAAACATTCCTAACAGGTACAGAGCTGCTGGATGAGGTAAAGCACGAAGGTAGCGCTCAGGAGTCTAAAGTTGGAGCTTCTAAATTAGTTTTAACCTATAGAGCATGCAGCCAGTACTAACCGTGGCAGCTGACGCTGGGGCAAAGGGGGAGCTCGGAAGAGAAGAGAGAATGTAATAGTTGTGATAAAAACGTTCTCTCCACTTCTGGCTTAAAAACTGAAAGCAGGCCCCGGCAGAAGCCTGGCAGCATTGCCCTGGCACGGGGAGGGGCAGAGCCCTCCCGCAGCCGGCAAGCTGCAGCCGGGCGCCCATGGCACCGCTGGGTCACACCAGCAGCTTATTGCTAGTCTGAAAGTACTTCGGCACGTTCCTGCCCCTCCACGCAGCCCAGCCCGTGTTCGGCTGTTATTCAGTCGGTTTCATGAACAATTCTATGCCAAAAAAAACATTAGGACTGATCTTATTAAACTCTAAAAGCATAAAAAAAGGAGAGAGGGAAGGAACCTTTTAAATCAACTTCCAAACGAATAATTAACACAGACAAGGGCTATAAGGGGAAGGCATTTTATTTTCACCAGGTAACACCCCTCCCTGTGTAAAGGAAGTAAAGGAGAAAGGGAAAAACCCGACAGCTGCCCCGCAGCACTACAGTCACCACGGACACTTGGAGCCAAGGCCTCGCTCCCTCCATCGCCACCGTGAGGCAGAGCTGGGTTTGAATTCTCCAGCCAGCCTCACACACAACCTGGGTTTGAATCCTCCAACCAGCCTCACACACAACCTGGGTTTGAATCCTCCACAATGGGCCTCACACACAAACCAAGGACACCTGACGCTGCCAAGGGCACTGTTAACTCCTTGGGTCTCCTGATATATTTAAACAAACCTGGGGCATATTAACAAAGCTAGAAAAAAGTAAAAGACATTTAAAAAAATCCACAGAAGGGAGCTCACTGTGCTAGTCCCACTTTCTTCTCAGCAGAATTCCCTCCCAGATGCCTATGGAGTGCAAACGGTATTAGGGGGCCGAAAGCGTTAACGCTACTAAAGAGAACAGCCAACACACAGATAAATAAGACTCATTTCCTTTTTAAAACGCCACAGGAAAGTCAATTCCCACGGCGTGATCGATGGAGACTTCCTAAATATGAATAAATATAATACACGTATTTACAAGCTTCCGATTCCCAGCCCTGATTCCAGGCGAGGTTGTGGCCGTCAGCAGGACAGGCCGTGCGGCCCGCGGCGAGGCTGCGGCGGGTTGGGGGTGACAGATGGAGAGCTAACAATGGCGGGAGAGGCGGCGGCTGAGCCCTGGCTCTGGCAGCAGCAGGAGGAACTGCTGGGGTAACGCAGAGTACCCGGCCGCCTCTCCCCGGCCTCCCGTCCCTGCCATGTGCCCCGGAGCCTCCCGCGGCAGGTGCTGGCAGCCCGGAGGGGATTCTCTGGGGGGCAAAGGAGAGTTAACCAGGCCCTTGATAACAACCCCGGTGTGGTTGCCGTGGAGCCGGCCCGAGCCAAGGCAAAGGCTGGATGATGAGGCTCCAAAGCTTCCCCAGAGCTGCCCCAGGTTGGAGGGGGGCACAGGTGTCCTGTGAGGGACTTGCATCCTCTCACATGCTCCAGATTTAGTTAGTCCTCGGTCCTGCCTGCTCTGCAACAGCCTAAATCCCTCTCACAGGGGAATACAACACGTGCTGGATACGCTGCGCCTTGGCGGCCTGAGGGCCGAGGACAGCTACGAGGGGGAGTGAGCCCAGAGCACCGCTATTCCTGGTCATATTGGGGCCGAACAAATTAAACCCATGA